TTACTTCATTGGACTCTGCAAATAGCATTTCTGACATTATATTAAGAAAATTGCGAGAGCTGCTCATGGTTGTTTCGCTTGATTGCACAAAAATTGAGCTACTTGAGGAGGGAAATTGGAGTTCTAATAAATTTAAGGAGAGAGCTGTTTCCACTACTCATAAGAAAAAGGGTAAAAAGCGCAGTAAAAATTCGAACCCTGTTCCAAGACCTTGTACAGATGGCCGAAACCTTGTTGAGCCTACGCAGGTATATCTTCATCTCCTCAGTATCTTTTTCTCGAATTCATGTACATAATTAGACCTTTCATACTTGAATCCATAAATGTTTCCAAGATACTACAATTTTATGGATATGGGCAGGTGTATAATGGCAATGGAGATATTAGACAGCCCAACAAGTTTGATGGTGAAGTTCCGAAGGAAGTTATTGCTAGAGGGAATCTCGCGTCTACAGATGCCATGGTTGTGCTTTTCTTTTTTCATATTAAAACATAAAGCCTCCGTTAGGCAACCAATTTATAAACTTAGTCAAAGTCAAACATTAATTTCAACCTCACATTCATAACTACTACTTATTTATTATCCGTAAATTTTTTGAGCTCACTATTATTCCTCTTTATATATTCATTTATAAATTTGCCAAACGGAGTCTAATTCTATTAATGATAGAAATGTTTTGTAAATTTATAAATTTGCCAAACGGAGTCTAATTCTATTAATGATAGAAATGTTTTGTAACTGATTGACTATGACCAGGGACCTGTTAAAGGATTAAATAATGGAAATGTACGAAGTGCTCCTAAGAAGAGTAGGAAAGAGAAGAAAAAGCTCAAAAGCTCGAGCTCCCCTAGCTCAGAAGTTGCAAGTTATCATTCTAGAAGCTCTATAGCTTCCGCCGTTTCTGTTAATTCTCAAGATGAGTCCTCCATGGCTCACTGGACCTCTGGAAATAGAACTATCGAGAACTTTTCAAACAATGTTGCAGCTGGGATTGACAGCTCTGAAGTAAATCCAGATCATTGCTGTGAAAGTACAGTAATGGCACAATGTGAGGAGACACGTGATTCTTCTGCTGAAGTCAGTGATTGTGTTGGTTTGGAACACCATCAAAACTCAGACAGAGTGGTCCAAAATGATACTGAAACTGCCAGGGTTGGTTGTCTGAGTGATGACGTGGATTCTGATGCTACTCCTGTTAGGCCTGTGGTTGAAGATAATGATGATATGTGTGGTGAAGTTATTGACAAAAGAAATTATGCACATTCACATGGAATTTACCAAAAGACAGGTTTTCTAGGGAAACTAACAGAAGGTAGTAAGACAGAAGGAAAAACTATTCGGGTTCAGGAGCAAGGAAGTATGGGTAATGTCGGGGCCACTAGTTCATCAGCATACATCTCTTATGAGTGGCCCAATGTAGCTACTATTCATCCTTCCGCTAATACTCATCGCCCTACGGCCACTGATAGATTGCATCTCGATGTTGGTCACAATTGGAAAAATCATTTTCACCAAATACAAAATGTACAAGTAAGAAATTCTTCTGTTGACACTAGGTATAGTGGAGTGATATCTCGACATCTGCCAATGAGTTTAGATTGGCCTCCCGCGTTGCATGGTGTCAGTAGACTATCCCCATCAGTTACTTGCAATTATGATTCTGATTTTATCTCAAGACGACAGTCCTCTCTTCTTCAACGCTTCACTGCTCAACATGTGCAGTGCGGTCCAGTTACTTCAGAGGATGAAAGGGTCCTTTCAGGCGAATTCATGGACATGTACAATGTTACAAATTCTCAGGAACCAGTGGATGAGCATGACAACCACTGGATGTCAGAAGAAGAGTTAGAAGTACATGCAGTTTCTGCGCTGGATTGTAATCAGTACTTTGGTGGAGGCGTGATGTACTGGAATCCTTCTGATCATCCAGGGACTAGTTTCTCACGTCCTCCCTCACTTTGTTCAGATGATAGCTCTTGGGCTTGTAGAGAAGCTGATATGAGTATGGCTGTTGATGATATGGTTGCGTTCTCCTCTTCTTATAGTACAAATGGACTGACTTCACCTTCTGCTGCTTCCTTTTGCTCTCCCTTTGATCCTCTGGGACCTGGAACTCTTGGCTATGTTATTCCTGGTAGTGATATCAGTGGCAAAGTTCTGCACTCCTCATCAGCAATGAATGATGTGGATGGCGAGGAGATTGTCTCCGGATCTATGCCCAATATGCCTAGTGATGGAGAAGTGAAAACTGGAGATTCACTTCCATATCCCATGTTGAGGCCAATAATCATCCCAAATATGTCGAGGGAAAGATCTAGATCGGATTTTAAGCAAAGTTATGATAGAAAAAGCCCTTGTGTTCCACCTAACAGGCGGGAACAACCTCGAATTAAGAGGCCACCTTCTCCCGTAGTCCTATGTGTTCCACGTGCCCCTCATCCGCCTCCTCCATCTCCTGTTGGTGATTCCAGAAAACACAAAGGTTTTCCTACCGTTCGATCTGGTAGCTCCAGCCCAAGGCATTGGGGTGTCAAAGGTTGGTTCCACGATGGTGTCAATTTTGAAGAAGCTTGCTTGCCCATGAATGGTAGTGAAGTCATTTGGCCTTCATGGAGAAACAAAAGCCTTTCGGCCCGTCAGTTGACGCAGCCTTTAGCAGGAGCATTGCTACAGGATAGGCTCATTGCAATTTCCCAGCTAGCTCGGGATCAAGAGCATGTACTTACATTCATCATTTATAATCATCCTTCTAACACAGTTGTGAATTTTTTTCTTTCTTCATTATTTCAATGTCTAATTTCAATGAAAACATGTCTACCTTAGCCAGATATTGCATTTCCTTTGCAACCACCTGAACCGCAGAGCTGTACCACTCGCAAGGCTGCTCTGTCACTGTTTCATAATACTCTCCATGATGAAATCAACTCTTTCTGCAAGCAGGTGTGGTACTGGACTGTTTTCATGTCTTGTTTTTAGGATTTAATGCTGCCAAGTGCTAACATTTGAATTTATTTCTCATGGTAAAATTATATTTTATATGTTTCATTTGTGTTGCAAGATTTCTGACAATTTGCAATCTGCTACAATATGTTAGGTTGCTGCTGAGAATTTGATCAGAAAGCCTTACATTAACTGGGCTGTTAAGTGTGTTGCACATTCTCTCCAAGTCTTGTGGCCTCGTTCTAGGACAAATATTTTTGGTTCAAATGCTACTGGATTGTCCCTTCCATCAAGTGACGTGGACCTTGTGGTTTGTCTTCCTCCTGTGAGAAATTTGGTAAGAATAAGTTCATTTGGGTTATATGTTTTGTAATAGATTTAGGAAGAAGTATTAAAGAAAAGAAACATCATTTTCATTCAATTTTCAGGAACCTATTAAAGAAGCAGGGATCTTGGAGGGTCGTAATGGCATCAAAGAAACTTGCTTTCAGGTATGCAGGATGACATAAAGCTGTTCTCGTGTTATATGAATGAGAAAATTCTACTTTTGCTCGGAAAATCGATCTTGGCAAGATGATACCTGTTTTCAGATCATCTTCCTTCTCGTGTCTTCACATAACTCATAAATGGAAGAATTGAATTCTTCTTTGCTGACTCAAATACTCAAAAGTTTGAGAAATCAATTGCAAGTTTGCTGAATATTGTGCAGGCTGATGCTTAGGGCGAATCTATTCATACTTTTAGGTCCATTTAAGTTGAATTTGCCCACATTGTTGGTATCATAAAAAACAAATTAGGTCACGTAACTGAAGCAATAGAGTTTGAGCAATGGGTTATACTTTGGCTTCTTAGAATATAATACAAAGTTTTGTGTCTTGAGCAATACTCGTCTCAGTTCTACTAGGTGTCTCATAATAGGAGTGCTTGTGTAGTTAATAATTGGAGCGTACCAAGCAATCACTATCCGATCATTCTGGGTATTGTACTTGTGTATTGTTCATCCCGCAAAAGATGTTTGAATACCTTTCTTTGTTTCAAGGACTTGGTTATTTGGTTTCTCTACGCAGCAACTTACCTTAGATTAAAATTTTGTTGATCTGAAGAATTTTTTAAAGGCGAATATAGTTATGCTGAGACAGCTTAGCTCTGCCGAGCATGAGCCAGAGGAGAGGAGAATTTCATGTTCATGTTTGCTTCCATCAGAATGAATGCTGTATCCCTAAAAGATAGGACGTGACATGAGATAGGTCAACCTGCCTTTTAGTCTCATTTTGAGATGCGATAATTAGTATTGCCTTTTCCACAACAATGAAAACAGGGAGAAGATAAACGTTTTTCCAATGAACTTGGGGTTGGTTACATGAATTCAATTTTGTTTGATCCAGTTTTACCTCTAACAGGTTCTAGTAAATTAAATATTTTGCAACCATTGTCAACACTGTCTTTTCCGATTCCTTTTTTATTTGTTTCATTGAATTTTGTTGTTGAGAATGCCATATAAACTCATCCAGTTTGGACAACACCAGAAGTTGATAATAAAAGATTATTGAGCTTCGGCAATTCAGCATCGCCTTTATTTCTCATCATTAATGACAATTATAACGACAGTGCACCTGGACAAGCTCAAATGGTGATATAATGACTTAATAGGAAAGAATTAAATAAGAAAACTGAAAATTTGATAAAAGGACTTATGATGCTCTTTTGAGGGTTGTTGGGGGAAAAAGTTGGGGGTCTGAAATCCTCCTGGCTTCCTCAAGACTAAGATGAAAGAAGTACTTTTTTGTTTGATTTCTGAGTAAAAAAGAGAGAAGGAACCAAATGCGAAGGAGAAAATCTTTACATCATAAGTCCTTGATTCACATTCCCTTTTGACTCTGTTTAGACTTTAGAGGTGCAGTTCGTTTTCCCTTCTACATGTGAGGTTGGTGATATTTTCTTCAACTAGAGGATTGCTCTTTGATCCATTGGCCATTGGGACTGACTTTCTTATAGTTGGATTTCCCCGTCTCACGATTTTTTATTTTCTTATGCTTTGTTTCCCTGCCACGCCACAGTTGTCCTTTCCAACTTCTTTCTGATGTTCTATTCTGCATGAATTTAGCATTTGTGGAAACTCTTTTTCATTCTTTTGTTAGAAAATGTTTTCCAACATTTCCATTTTTGTATAAATCTAACTTATTTGGCTTTTTAGCTTATAAATGGCCCTTTTTCCTTGTAGCATGCTGCTAGATATCTTGCGAACCAGGAGTGGGTCAAAAGTGATTCTCTCAAGATTGTGGAAAATACTGCTGTAATGCTACTTTTGAATTCATCTTTTCCTTTCTTTCTTTCCTTCATTATTTTTCTATGTATCTTAGATTCCTCGTAATGGTAAGGAGGAAAAGCTAATCTTGGACACCTTTTTTCTTGTTTCACCTTCCTATTGCTTTTAGATACCTATCATCATGCTTGTGGTGGAAGTTCCACATGATCTTGTTTCTTCTACTATGTCAAATAGTCTGATGCCGAAAGCACCACACCAGGGGACTGGTGAACAAGGCAAACTTTTTCAGGCTGATTCTGCTAGTTCCGAGGTCTCTACTTCACCAAAGTGGAGCAAGCTTGTGAAAGATAACAAAGGTGGTGTCAAATTAGTTCGTCTTGACATCAGTTTTAAGTCTCCATCACATACTGGACTACAGACTACTGTGCTGGTAATCATTTATGGGGAAGTTTTTATTATAGTCTTCAAATCCATATCTTAGATCTCATTCCTGGATCTCAATACTTGAATGTTTCTGAGAATTTTGGAATCAAATTTCAATATAATTTATGTTCAATCTCTCATTCGGATGCTGTGAGTTGTGAATTTAGGTTAAAGAGATTACTGAACAATTTCCTGCTGCAACTCCTCTTGCTCTGGTGCTAAAACAGTTCTTGGCAGATCGTAGCCTAGACCAATCATATTCAGGTGGTTTAAGTTCATACTGCCTGGTAAGAATACGCTCGTCTATTTACCCCACGTTCTTGAGTTGTGCGTTAAGATATCGCTGTTTTGAAGACCAAATACGGACAACAGAGCAGATTAGTGAATTGTTTTATTTGACATTGTATACTTGATTTAATGTTGCTGCTACTAGGCATATAGACGAGCCGCCTAATTTCATGTTGTTACTTTCTGATTTAAATTGATAACATATTTCCTGTTTATTATGCATTGATTAATAAAATATTTGATTACCTTTAAAAAAAAAAAAAGATATCATTTAGGTTGTTGTTTGGAAAATCTGGAAGTTGTGTCGTCGGCATGCCTACTTTGAGATTCTCTATAGAAGACAATCTTTTCCCTGAATTAGTTAGAAAATCAGAATATAAAGCTACACTAAAAAGAGAACAAAAGGTCATTGGTATATATGAAGTCTGCATGTGAAGTATTACCTTTGACAATGACGTATTTGCCCGTAATCTACATGGTTCTTTCTAGCACTTTATGAATAATTTGGTGTTGTTACTGGATTGTTGAATCTCGAAACTGCATTAGAGAATCATTAACTTGACCTCAGTCATTTCAACAATAAGACCTGTGTGTCCGGGGCTGTTCGACTGACATGGTCATAGTTCCTGTAGTTGATCCTGGTGCATGGATTGGCTAGCATTCTGGTTAATGATTGACTTCAGGTGGTGACATCTGCTTGCATGTGCATTTGTGAATGCTTCAAAAGTGATAAAAACTGTGCCTTTATTTCCCTATTAGTTTACTGTTTGTGGTTTTTTATTCTTTTGATATATAATCATATGAAGGCTACAGAGTGGTGACGTCTCTTTCAGTTTTCATCTTCGCATGGACTTTTCGATGAACTTTTGTTTTACAAACTTTTTTTTTAAATATCTGTACTTGCTGATTTTCTTACCTATTCTTTGTTGGACAGATGCTGTTAATCACACGTTTTCTGCAGCATGAGCACCATCATGGCCGGCCTATAAATCAAGTATGATAGTAGCTTACACTTATTTGAACATATTTTATCTTTGTGAATGTTTGATATATCCTTCTAATGTGCATGATTCTAATTGTCATTGTCTATTGAGGTATCAAGTTACATATGTTATTATGTTAGCAATGCTATGGCAGTGCTAAAAATAATATCCACGATTTCTATGTGCATGTTTCTAATTGTCATTGTCTATTGTGGTTTCAAGTTACATATGTTATTATGTTAGCAATGCTATGGCAGTGCTAAAAATAATATCCACGATTTCTTATAATTTTTCCTTTACCCCCTTTTTTTAAAACAATTACAAGGTGGCACTACTTGTGCCGGGCCTCTAGGTCCCGCAGGTTTTTAACTTCTTTTTGGCGGGGCGGGGCGGGGTAATTCTGGAGAGGAAAAAAAAAAGAAAATTAAAAAAAGGCCGATGATAGGATCCTGACTGCTGGTCCCAATCCTCCTTCGCCAGTTGCTATCAGAATGTGCTAACCTGCTGATGAAATATCAGATTAGACCTCAGTTTCGGCAGAACCAACAATGAGCTGTAATGAAGAATTGGAACTATAACAGATGCACGTTGGAAGAGCTAGTGACTTGATATTGAAGAATGAACTGTACAAAATGGATAACAAATTCCAAGGCTATTTGAGTGGCCTGGTCTCTCCCCCCTCTCCTAACAGAATTTCAGTGAAAAATCAATGAATCCCAAACCCCCTTTCCCTCCATCTTTATTCACAATCCCTACCACAACATTGTTACATTTTTACCCCTATCTAACTAACTTCTGATGACTTGGCAAGCCCTTTATTCCTTCTCGCGTATGTGAAACGGATAGGAGGTCTATCATTACTCGCCGTCCCGAAATCCACCTGTCCTCAAGGTGGAAGCTTGGAAATTGTAGTTTGACAGTCTCAAAAGGCTCCCAGGTTGCCTCAGACTCCGGCAAATTCTTCCATTTAATTAAGATGTCAGTGCCCTAGCCCTCGTGTGAGGATTAGGACGAACTCTCAGAACAGATTCCGGTTCCAGGATAAACTCCCCATCTACTGAAAGCTGAGGTGGAAGAGATGAAACTGGTTGCAGGTTGCCAATGGCCTTACGAAGCTGAGATACGTGGAAAACCGGATGGATCGTCACTGTAGATGGCAGTTTCAATCTATATGCTACCTGCCCCACCTTTGATTCTACTTTAAACGGTCCATAATATCTCAGGGACAACTTCTCCAAGGGTTGTTTAGCCACTGACTTTTGGCGATATGGACGAAACTTGTTATAAAAAAAGTGTACAATACTTCTATATTTATATTTGATGTTAGTCATTGGGTTTGCTCCCCAATGATCACCAGTTCGAGTCCCCTCAGGGCCACTGAAGTGAGTATCCGGCCGTAAACTTTAGGGCCCCGTGGCATTAGTCGAGGTGCGCGCAAGTTATGTGCATGTTTCTAATTGTCATTGTGTATTGTGGATTCAAGTTACATATGTTATTATGTTAGCAATGCTATGGCAGTGCTAAAAATAATATCCACGATTTCCTATAATTTTTCCTTTACCCCCTTTTTTTAAAACAATTACAAGGTGGCACTACTTGTGCCGGGCCTCTAGGTCCCGCAGGTTTTTAACTTCTTTTTGGTGGGGCGGGGCAGGGTAATTCTGGAGAGGAAAAAAAAAAGAAAATTAAAAAAAGGCCGATGATAGGATCCTGACTGCTGGTCCCAATCCTCCTTCACTAGTTGCTATCAGAATGTGCTAACCTGCTGATGAAATATCAGATTAGACCCCAGTTTCGGCAGAACCAACAATGAGCTGTAATGAAGAATTGGAACTATAACAGATGCATGTTGGAAGAGCTAGTGACTTGATATTGAAGAATGAACTGTACAAAATGGATAACAAATTCCAAGGCTATTTGAGTGGCCTGGTCTCTCCCCCCTCTCTCCTAACAGAATTTCACTGAAAAATCAATGAATCCCAAACCCCCTTTCCCTCCATCTTTATTCACAATCCCTACCACAACATTGTTACATTTTTACCCCTATCTAACTAACTTCTGATGACTTGGCAAGCCCTTTATTCCTTCTCGCATATGTGAAACGGATAGGAGGTCTATCATTACTCGCCGCCCCGAAATCCACCTTGTCCTCAAGGTGGAAGCTTGGAAATTGTAGTTTGACAGTCTCAAAAGGCTCCCAGGTTGCCTCAGACTCCGGCAAATTCTTCCATTTAATTAAGATGTCAGTGCCCCAGCCCTCGTGTGAGGATTAGGACGAACTCTCAGAACAGATTCCGGTTCCAAGATAAACTCCTCATCTACTGAAAGCTGAGGTGGAAGAGATGAAACTGGTTGCAGGTTGCCAATGGCTTTACGAAGCTGAGATATGTGGAAAACCGGATGGATCGTCACTGTAGATGGCAGTTTCAATCTATATGCTACCTGCCCACCTTTGATTCTACTTCAAACGGTCCATAATATCTCAGGGACAACTTCTCAAAGGGTTGTTTAGCCACTGACTTTTGGCGGTATGGACGAAGCTTGTTATAAAAAAAGTGTACAATACTTCTATATTTATATTTGATGTTAGTCATTGGGTTTGCTCCCCAATGATCACCAGTTCGAGTCCCCTCAGGGTCACTGAAGTGAGTATCCGGCCGTAAACTTTAGGGCCCAGTGGCATTAGTCGAGGTGCGCGCAAGTTTGTCCGGACATCCATGGTCATAAAAGAATATATATATATTTATATGCAAAATTATTTTCTACTTCTACTAATAATAGAAAATTAAAATAAGGAAACTAATAAAATCATAATCTAATTAGAAATCCTATTCTAATCAATAAAGAAAAGAAATTATATTCTAAACAAGAAATGAGAATAAAAAAATAAAACCTATTAGAATTAGAAAAAATAAATCACAGTTGTAATAGGAAACTACTAATCATATAACGCTCATTAGAACTAGAAAAGATAAATCACAATTGTAGTAGGACACTACTAATCATGATTATGTACTACATCAATTTGTCTTACTATTTACTGTTATTTCCACATTTGTTTTCTTTTGTACCAAAAAAATAAGTCCAGAAAATACTTTAACCCTGTTTGGTTATGCTAAAATTCAGATTTTTAGTAGATTTTGATAAAAAGTTGATTAAACGTTTGGTTGAAAAGTTGATAAAATTTGTAGGTCCCATGAAATGTGTGGGTAAAATTAATTGTTGACTTTGACTTAAATTTTTATCAACTTTTTTAATTAAAGCAAAAAGGGACTGTGTTTATTAGGATATATGGAGTATAGTCTAGCATGACTTACAATTTACATATACTGTGCCTAGAAGGACATTGAGCAACTAAAATTGTGCCTGGCAAGAGGCACAGACTTTCCCTTGCTGAGGTTCCCTGTGGTCTGTTACCTGGTCGATTAACACTATCTCAATCCTCAGATTTCATCTCAAAATTCAAAAGCAATTTTTTGTTGCAAGTGATTCAAGTTTTAGGAGTTGAAGAATCCTAGCCTTCTTGTGACCTCCTGAATTTTGAAGTCTTTTCTGCTGGATGTATACCTTTTCAATTTTTTTGGCTCTTCATTTAAATACTAAATCTGAATGTTAATTTCTTCATAATCTCCGTCATTGTATTTTTAAGAAGAGTGAGTGAATAATAAAAGATCCAAATGAGGCACAGTAAATACCACCTCCTAGTGTGAGTAAAAATCAGGTCGAAGCATCTTCTGTGTGCTTGGCCTCGTGATATTTTGAAAATTTTTTTGTTCTTCTTTGGCCAGATTTTCAGCTTAATTCTACATGTAATAGGATTGGGAGAGGACGTATTTGATCTCTGGTTTCTACAATTTGTAATCATCCCCTTCTAGTGGCAACCTTGCCAGACTTCTGTTCTGCAACTTTTCCATGTTTCATAAATGTTTGCAATCGTTACGTGTGCCCAACCATATAGATCTGGTTTAGGTAACTCTAACATTGCATTTCTTGTGGGATTCCCCCTAAAATAGATCCAATTGTTCGACATGGGATTGGCTAGTGCCTCATGTCCTTGTGTTTGTATCGTATCATTTCATCCTATACCACATTCTGAACTATGTTCTGCATGTCTATCTAGTATGTATTGCTATCGAAACTCTGCAACCAAGCTCCAGTATTACTTACATGACCTGTGACTTCCATTTGTTTCATTTGGATTTTGAACTTGAACTTGAACTTAGCAGATAGCTGTAATGGATCCGTGTTTAAGTTTAAATTTGTATGCTAATAAATTGATGTCATTTATTTATTTATTTTTGTGCAGAATTATGGATATCTCCTGATGGACTTTCTCTATTTCTTTGGGTAAGGAAAAGTTTAGTAGATGATATTTAATTTTCTATCCACTTGTTCAGCATTACTCTTCTTTTACATCCTCCATATATGTTATTGATGGATTAGTCAACACTACATTTCTAGTCTATTACAATTTTATTTACTATCTACCTTCATATTTAAAGGAAATTCCCAGCCATAATTGACGATCTGAACCATTTTTCTTCAGGAATGTCTTTGACTCTCGTCAAATGCGTATATCAGTACAGGGAAGTGGGGTATACCTAACTAGGGAACGAGGGTGCAGGTAAAGCAAAAAAAATTTTGATTTGCTTTTATTGATCTATATTTCATGAGGTTTCACTGTTTTCTTTTTACCTAACTACTTAACTTTTGCAGTATCGACCCACTTTACGTTGATGATCCTCTTTTTCCGACAAATAATGTTGGACGAAACTGTTTTCGCGTACATCAATGTATCAAGGTCAGCTGATATTCTTAAAATGAACATTTTTTATTTTCTCATCGAAAGAATTGAATTTAGGAAGTTAATTTTGTCCTAATATTGCGGTTCCTTTAATCCTGGACATCCCAACTTCATCCAATATTGAATTCCTTTTCAAAGATTTAAGCAAAAAAAATGTAACTTCATTTGAAAGTTAGGTTTTTGGAACTTGACATTTAAATTAAAAGAGTGGGTCAATCAATCGTCTTGTCAATTCAATAGCTTGTATTCGAATTCATTGAACATCTGGTTATTTGTTGTAAAGTTCTGCTAGCTGGTGAATATCTACATATGTCGGAATTGATCAGAGAGTGTATCGTTCTTAGTTTATGCACAAATTCATTCGAACATACCTGTGAGACTTTGGCTCTCTTCCTGAACGTCCATTTAACGTGTGCATGGCATGCTATTTTCTGTTATCTATGGAAGGGAGAGTTATGTACTGAGCGACTTCTCTGTCATAAAATCTATGTTATCTTACAACGTGATGCCAAGTATTTATAGGTCATTATATTTCTCATTGATGTTGAAAAATTGGTCTGCTATTGTTTTCATCTCGGCCTCTTAAACTCTTGGGGCTGATTCGTGTTTTCTATTAACTCTCGTGGCCAATTGATATTATTCAAATTTTAATATTTAGCAGGGTAGCTTTGCTCAGATGGGAAGAATCTATCTTTTTCCTGATATTTTGCACTATGATTTTCAGATGTTGATGTTAGCTTAGTTTTATTGAATGCAATTGCGTGGTGCAGGCATTTGCAGATGCTTATTCAATGTTGCAGAGTGAACTTACGTGCTTTCCTGATGATGACACACTTGCTAAGCCCCCCTGTAGACTACTTCCCAAGATTGTTCCGAGCATTGGTCATTTGATGGATCCTAATTATTAGGACTGTGATTTTGAATATTAAGGTACTTGGTGATGTCTCTGAGAGTTAACATCTTAGAACTGCTGCCCCCACCCAACCTAGCACAACCTTTGGAATGTCCCTTAATATCTAAAACTTCTTTCAAAAGAACCCCCAAGAACATCTCCAGCATCATCTTCCGTTCATTAGAATCATCTAAACCAAGCTGATGCTTGGATCAGTGACGATACAAAACAGAGATATAAGTAAGACGATGAAAATTAAACGATGTTAAGGTTGTATGCCTATATGATACAAAATCAACATTGATTGATAAACCTGATTAGAGATTCCAAACCTACTCCAGAGAAAAAGAATCAAGAAAAATGAAAGAGTGGAGATTTTAGAAATGATGGAAGGGCTTTTCTTTGTTTAAATTTTATGGGAAATGATAAAATTGGAGGATTGGCATAGTTTCTCTGTCTTAACCTAGAATATAGAGAGAAATTTGGAAGGCCTTGGATTGTCGTTCTGCTTGTTGAGGTTGGATCTTGAATTACAATCTCAGGAGGTGGCTAGTGGTTAAAGATTTGCAGTAAGGTACAATCTTACCAATGGTGGTTCGCAAGAGATTGGGGATTGGCCGTGTTGTTAATGGGGTATTGGAGGCACAAAATTGAACTCTCCCAAGATGATTGCAGCAATGACTGTAAGGTGGTTGAGGGCGAGAGAAGCGGAAGAGTGGATGTCTGGGGAGAGGTGGTAATGGCAGTGGTTGCTGCAATAGTTTCAAAGGGCAGGTGGTTATTATCTGGTGGAAGAGGACCAAGGATGAGATAGTGCATGAAGGATGCCTTTTAGATAAAATGAATTCTTACTATGAACAGCAATCATTTAATTGAGGATAGTTTGGGGCAGTGGGGTTTGAGAATTTGTTCCTTTCGGAAAGGGGATGTTACTTTAGGTAGCTTCAACAGGGAATGAAGACGTGCAGAGTGGAATGAAGGGATTAATCATTTAGTTCCTTTGTTGTCGCTTTTCCTCCCTTTTATTGCAGTCTGAGTGCAGCTTTGCTATGATGACTGAATTGCACGGGACAGATAGTGAGCAAGAGCAAATTGCGTGGATTTTACAGAGGGAAGACGATGTTGTGATGACGCCCATGCACCTGATGTACTGTCATCTGTTGAAGACGCATCCCATCCTGGTGAAATTATACGATTTACAGATTGAGGACACGAAACTAGGTAAGTTACCAAATTTTCATCTTCTCTAGCATTTTCCACGGGTGGGCGGGCTAGAATCCAAAGATCTATTTGGCTTTATTCGAGTCCAGCTCGTGGAGCTTCACTCAAAGCATTACCTGTCCGATTGGGACATCTCACTTGGCTGCATGATTGGCATCCCATTGACTTTCCTTTCTTTTTTTTTTCCCCCATTAAACCTAGGAGAATATCACCAGGTTGGGAATGGAAGTTCCTACATTTATGTCATGATATTCTTATTTTCCATCTTATAGGGTTGTGCGGTTGAAGATCGACTTTGAGATATCAATGGAGGTTTAGCCAAGAAGCAAAGGTTAGAAATCACCGAGTCAGTGATACTCTTGCTTAGTAGGTTCGTTAATGGCTGGCTCGGCCCACCAAGATGAAATATTTATAGATAATGGTTGCTAATCATGTATAATTAATTGAATTAAGAGCTAATTGGGATTACTTGCTAATTAATTTCTAGCTTTTGATGTTTGATAATTATTTATATTAAGTTCATCTGAATAAAATGGTGTTCTTTTTTAAACAGCAAGTGAATAGCTTTGGATTGGGAACAAAGTGTAGGAATAATTCCTTTATAAACATCACTTAATTGTAAAAAAAAAAACGGTTTTAGTTCATAAAATTAATATATTCAAAATAATCAACACGGTTGTCATCTAAAATTAAATAGCAAGCCCCTGTTTGATTCACATCATTTTTTTCATTTTCATTCTTTTATTCATTTTCAACCACACATTCTTTAATAAAATAATATTTTTCATTAAATTAATAACTTTTCCTTTTTTTCAGCGACACATCCTCCGTCAATTTACTATTTCAAAATATATTTTTTTAAAATAATGTGGTCCAAACGAAGTGGACCATAATGCAAAATTTGTAGGCCAAAAATCCGAGGATGGGGCCCAGTCCAGTTGTAAAACGTTTGGCCCCTTACCAGAACATTTTTCTCAAGCCATGGGATGAGATGTGAGGAAGATTCTAAGCAGAAAGAACCCCCCTTTTCCAAAATCCCAAGTTTAATAAATTATTATTTTACTAAAAATATGCTTCCACTTCATTAGATTTGTAAAAAATAATTTTTTTGGAGAATATGTAAGGAAATTTTTTTTTTTTATTTTATTCAGAGAATATATATGTGAGGGCAAATGAATTTCAAAAATTGAAACTCAAAAATGACTTTATTAGTGTATATATTTAAGCTAATTGTATTTCAAGTAAATTATACGAATTATTTTCATGAATTTGGTTAGATGTCGCATTGTTTATAAAAAAAATATTTTATTATGCTTGGTATAAATTTGGATAGTAAACATTTAAATAAAAGTTAATAAGCCCTTTTTTTTATTCTAATTATTTTTAAAATACATTTTTATCCATCTTCATTTCAATAACATATTTTTCAATAAAAATAATATTACACATAAATTCAAAATTTTTCCTTATTTTTTAATCATAAATTTTTAATAAATCTATTATTTCAAAATGCATTCTTAGCCAAATAACGAGGCTCGAACCAGGGCTAAAATTCTTTTCTTCGATGTTTCAATTGGGGTCCCCAACTAACAAGAAGTGTAGATGTAGAATCTAATTTCCTCTTTAATTAATTCAGTCAGTCTGAGGAGAAGTCGTTGATTTGGGTAAAATATGTTAATCGATCGAATATGCTGGGAATTCTTCATTTCTCACTGCTCAAACTTCCCTTTTATACTTTTTTTTTAACAGCAACTTCATCACGCCAAGCAAGCATATCCCTTGTAAATATTCCATCTTTTTTTACCCAATAAAACCTGCCCCCCTCCATTGCTTGCCTTCACTACACACTTTCTTCAATTTAGTCCGATGAAGTTTGGGAAGAGATTGAAGCGGCAAATCGAACAGAGTTTGCCGGATTGGCGGGATAAATTTTTGACGTACAAGGAATTGAAGAAACTCGTGAGATTGATTTCTTCTACTCCGGCTCCACCGTTGTTGAAGGCCGACAAGGAGGAGTTTATCTACTGCTTGAACAATGAGGTCGACAAATTTAATGCCTTCTTCATGGAGCAGGAAGAGGATTTCATTATTCGCCACAAGGTATTTATCCTCCCACTAGTTAAATTTACTTTCTAAAAAAGTAAATTTGAAATTTATGTTAGGCAACACGAATGACTTAAAAGTAAATTTAAGTAGTGATTATAATGTGATGTAGTAATTACAGCTAACCATAAGTACATATGACTATCGTGAAAGGTGGAAATTTATGGAAAGTTGGAGAGTTCGATCCTGGTTCATGTGAACGTTGGCGGCATGGTGTTATCGCATGCAAGTCGCATAAATAACCATTTCGAGTTTCGACAGTTAACATGTTTGGCTGAGCTTAAAAATGCTTTCGAAAAAATATAAAATTAGACGTTTCGGGGTTGTTTGCGCCCATTTTTGTCAAAAAAATGTATTTTTGAATAGTTATTGATGAAAAATGTGGGGTTAAAAATAAAGAAAACTTTTGAATTACTTGTAATATTATTTTATTGAATAAATAATTTTAGTTGAACAAGAAATTAATATCAAAATGGATTATTTATATTGTGGGTCGTATATTTCCTATGTTCTGGGGGTCAAAAAAATGTATTTTTAAATAATGTGTGACTGAAGATAAGAAATTTTTTTGAATTTACGTGTAGTAATATTTTATCGAAGAAGTAATTTTGGTTTAACAAGAAATTAATATCAAAATAGATTATGTAGATTGTGGGTCCTATATTTCCTGTGTTCTGGGGCCAATCGTCCCTTCGCAAGAGTATATTCTATGAAATTGCTTAGTTTTCTCCGACTATACGAATGGCTTTACTGACAGAGACAATACCATAGAAACAATCAAACTCACGTTCTTTTATAATCATCATATTTATTTTCAATAGAAAGTTTATTACACAGGATTCAATACAAGTAAAAGAGATTGATATATAAAATCAATGGCGATTTCAAGAATTCATCTGAGCTAAGACGGATACTCGAGAAATATTAAAATTTGGAGTTTTATCTTAAAATGTGAAACTTGTTAGGAGGGGTAATTCAAATTCTTATAAGTTGGTTTATGTTTTCATTTTTATTCAATTTGAGATTTTACCACTTGACATATTCCACAAGATAGTAGTTCGTTTGAGCAAATAAATTTTGGAATCGAATTGTTCGTTAGAGTTTAGTGGGGTATGATACCGTATTAAGAATTTGAGTTTCATCTTAAAATATCAACCTTATTAAGAGTAGTAATTTAAATCTTTATAAGTTGGTCTCTGTTTTCATGTTTTTTCGATATATAATCCCTTAAAAATATATGGAAAAAGATAAATTATGCCGGCCGTCATGACTCGTCAGATGTTGGATCCGCCACTGCATATAATCCTAATAATGAATGAGAAGGCAGGTATCTATTTCTTAGTTGGTTTGAATGAATAATTGATGCAGGAATTGCAACAGAGGATTGATGGAGTGATTGATACATGGGGATCAAAAGGAACCAAACCATCAGAGTTTGAGTACGAAGAAGAGATGGGGAGAATCAGAGAAGACATTGTCAATTTTCATGGAGAAATGGTTCTCCTAATCAATTACAGCAACATCAATTACACCGGTAAACTCTTTTATCTCGTCTAAAAGTTTAAGCTATTAGAAGCTATATAACCTAGAGAAACTATTGCAGGGTTGGCCAAGATAGTGAAGAAGTATGATAAACGAACAGGTGGTGTTTTGCGCTTGCCGTTTATCCAAAATGTCCTTGAACAACCATTTTTCACAACTGATCTCATTTCGAAGCTCATCAAAGAGTGTGAATGCATCATAGATACGGTATTCCCGGCCGCCGCTTCGAAAGCAACAGGAATGCTAAAAGCTGAAAGAGAAGCAATAACATTGCCTGGAGAGGGAATTTTCAGGAATACAGTTGCAGCCCTGTTGACCATGCAAGAAATTAGGAGTGGAAGTTCTACTTACAGCCACTTTTCTCTGCCACCACTCAATTTGCCAGCATCTGATATAATTCACTCCTTTCACCTAATACCAATTCCCTGATGATTTTTACATTTGAATTTAGGTAAAAAATGATGAATTATTCATATTTCCCCCCTACATGTTGCCAGTAAGCTAAATATTTGTGATATTTTATATTATAACATGATAATTTAGAATGCTTGATCGATGGGACCATAAGCACAAATGCTCAATTTCATTTACAATTTTGCTACATGTACAACATACCTTACAGCCATCTCACCTGGAGGGTGGGACCCACGATCGCGGGACCCACATTATTTGAGAGAGCTGTACAATGTACAACATTTAAAAGCTGTACAAACAGCTTTATTGTTTCATTTACGCAACAAAACAAATTTCGAGACTAGAGAAATTGATGCTTGTAAATGGTTTGTTCAACAAAATGTTTTCCATTGTATGTGTCTACACACACAATATATATATTTTTAAATATGTGATTAAAAAGTATAAAAAAATTATGATTTCGCGTATAATTACCTGTAACCATCGAGTAAGGATGAAAGTCGGCTTTATTGATCCGATGAGGTCGAGTGGAAGGGTCATCGTTCAATGAATAAGCGGGGGAAATATTCTTCATATGAATTCAAAAAAATTTCTTACTTTTTAACCACATTTTTTCAAAAATTTACTAATTCAAAAACTTATTTTTTACCAATAAGTAAAAAAAAAAAAGGCTGTCAAACAGAGCTTAGCCAGCTGTTTTATCTCTCATTCTTAATTCTCTTTTTTACGTACTAATTTTCAATAAGTGCCTGTTTGTCTACCATTTTTGTGATGAAAATGAAAATGGTACAATGAATAGTATTTTTTGGAGAATGTGGGGTTAAAATTGAAAGAAAATTTATGGATTTATGTGTAGAATATTTTATTATGTGAATGTGTTGTGGAGATTGATTAGTGTAAAAAACAATATTAGGAAAAATGGTAGGCAAACAAGGCCTAAATATGATTTGGGTAGAATCCATCAATGGCTCCTGAAATAATAGTAGAATTGGGGAGAATCAATTCAATCCCGCTCTCTTTCTACTCTATATGTTCTCGTCACTCTCATCAACGTCCTTTCACTTCGACAATTCTCAATTTGAACCGACCCGAGATTTAGTTTAATATTTGACAATGATGGCCATCCAGGCGTTTATGGATTTCCACTGGGTACATTGGTCAAACTCAAACACCAACGGTTGATCACCGCCACGGCCAGAGCGGAGGGAGTTAACGACGTTGAAAAAATAGATGAGGTAGTGTCTAATATTGCGAAAATGCGATAATTTTTTTTTTTATTTATTTTTGCCTATTCCCCTTAATTTTATATAATTCAGCATACAGCTTTATGTGTTTACACATTAATTTGTTCTATTTAGATATCAATACTCTCGGAAAAAAAAAATCTTATGCTAAATTTTGGAAGTTCACGAGTGATTGTTATCACGATGCTTCCCGGTTACCGTTAGTACGCTGGATTGGTTTTGCACTAGACTAATCCTGGAAATACTGTTATGCCGGCATCACCATCTGCTATAAAATCTCAAACTAAATGGAAACTATAGAACAGTACACAGCAAAGATGATGAAAGTGATGATTCCATTAGAGTAATTCTGTTGTTTTACTTGTACAGCATTATGAGATATATACACATTCAGTGAGAACAATCTAGAAGAAGAAAATCTGTGCTATTTTTCTATACAAAATAAAACGGATTGGTTACAGAAAAACAAATTACATAACCATAAATATTCTAACAGGAAAGCGGTCCTATTTGTTCCGTTAACAGAATCCTTCTATCCCGTGTCATCATTCACGTTTATGCCCTCCAAACTGTGGCCTTCTTCCTGCTGATCCAGATTCCTATTAGCTGACATTGGCTGCTGCTGGTCCTTCATTTGCTGCTGATCATTCATGAATTGAGCTTGGTGTTTTAATATCCCGCCTCTCAATTGCAACTGGCAGACTTGGTGCATACTCTGGTACCATTGTTAAAGATTTTGAAAGAGCCATACCTTAAAAGTTAGCTGTTGAAAGTTGGAGAGCTCAAGTTCATATAATCCAACCCAGTGAAAGCTCATACTTTCAATGTGGATCCAATTTCCATACCTTGCAATGGGACTCATGATGGTGATGTGGGAGATGTTTGTTTCTCTGAATTGCTGTAGACTAGTAAAAATGGTAGTCCTCAGCTGGAGTCCAAATATGAGAAAATAAAAAGTAACGATTATAAACAAACGATGAATTCACTTAGAAATTATCTTTAAACGTACTCCGTCCCCTCGATAACTGAAAAATAGATATATGGGCTGGCTCCCATTATGCTAGAGTTATTCAAGAACAATACAACATTAAAGGCGAATCAGGCTTTGATCATAAGGTTCTCGATCAGAAAGAACTTGAACCCTCAAAGGCTTAAAAGAATTGAACTATAATAAGGAAAAATAATAATATACTATTTTCAGGGCCTGGACAAAATTATATTAGAGAATTGGTTTTTGGATGCTAGAATTGAATGGTATTCTTGTATCCATTTTGGAATGGTGCATTTTTCGGCACACATCAATTAGAGTCGTCAGACCTCACTTGTTTGAATGAGACATGATCTGACGGTTCAGACAGTATACATCAGACAAGCACTGCATCTCTTTGATGTGCCTAGTTACCATATCCAATGAGTCACGTCCTTTATTCACATGCAGCCTATCATTATCATCACAACCCACCTATTACATCTATTTTAGCTACCCGGCTGATGGTTTGACTTTTAATGTAGGCGCTACAATTACATGATTTACCACCTTAATGCCACATTACGTTTGACTTTCCACCATCACTGTGCGTGCTCACAGTCTGCCACTTGCCAACATGTTAGTTCCACAAGCATTTCCATTAGGAAAACTTAGTCTCCTTGGCTTCTCTGCACGAGTGGAACGTGCAAAGTGTGATTCTAAGGCACCGCCTCTCCCATTGTGTCCTTTATGACGTTTGTGGGTGTGGGTAGCACTAATTTGCTAGAGAATGTTTTATAGACAAAATATTATTCCTCCCCTTTTCTGCGAAAAACATTCCCAGTTAAAGAAAAAGGAGACTCATAATGCAGGGGTACTTTTGAACTTATATGGTCACTGATATTTGTTTTTATTGTTCAATGACACAACATAATCCCCTCATGTAATATATAATTTGTCAACTCACTAACTCATTAATCAAACATGATGTCCAGCAATTAATGGCCCGCTAACCTTTGATAACTTAGAATAACTGGATAGTTACTGTAGTGGCATGAGGAATAATATTAGAGCGTGTTCAGTAGGGATTAAAATTGAAAAATTAGCCGTTATTGTTGACTTTTATTAGACGAGTGAGATCCAATAACGGCTATATTTTCAATTTTAATTGGATTTTAATCTTTAACAAACGGGCTTTTAGTAGAAAACTTTGACAATAAAAAGAAAAAAAATGAAGACTTCGGTCTTACTAGTATCGTTAATGCTGCTATTATTATTTCTATAGATTTTAAAATTCTTGATATTTGTGACTGTTTTGTAAGCTAAAGTAATGTCCTCATGTATAACTTTAAGACTGAAAATCTGCTTAAAAATTCTATGCTACCATTGGTTCTATGTAACTATATACAGGTCTAGAAATTCATTTCAACCAATTGAAACTTCTCAGGCTGTTAACTTTTATGAACGAAAAAGATGTGTGTCATTTGTCAATATAGCAGATGCTTAATGTCAGACATCAATATGTTCTGTGCACATTAACCTGTGAGTAACTATCTGTCTTACCAACATTTACTTATGCATTTACCATCTTTCTTTTGTTGAATATATTTTCTTGCAAAAATATGACCAAATATGTCTGCATGTATTGGGATGACAATGTAACTATGAAAGAATACTTAAAAGAAGTCAACAAAACAAGGCCCAGGTGTGGAATCCTTGCGTTGTTCAGAGTAAATAATATTGTGGGTTCAACTGTTTACATATGGATCATGTATGAGTGAAATCTGCATAATACTTTCTCTTTGGTAGAGGATTCCTCATTTTTCATTTTACAATGTTTAAGAACTATGATACCCTTTAATATTATTCAGATGAATTACAGCTGGACCACTGAGATGGATATGTTGTAGGAAGTCAACAAAGGTACTCAAATATCTGTGGAGGAGAATTCAGATTCAGAACTTCAACAGAAAGCAAGTCAGTTGCAGAAAAGGGTTATCTTTGGGCTTGGCATCGGAGTTTCTGCTGGAGGGTTAGTGTTGGCTGGAGGATGGGTTTTCACAGTGGCCCTTGCAGTGGCAGTATTTGTTGGTGCCAGGGAATACTTTGAGCTGGTAAGAAGCCGTGGAATTGCTGCTGGAATGACCCATCCTCCTTGATACGTATCACGAGTTTGCTCTGTTATCTGCGCTCTAATGCCTATACTTACACTGTAAGAGTTGTTGACAATCTTCTGGTTTTTCTTGGCACTTCATTTAGTATCTTTTATGGATCTCAGCTTTGAACTTCCTGCATGGGGTCTGAAATTACCGTCTTACACTAAAATTGCTATTGGCAGTTTATGAAGCATGGATGCAGACATGTTGACTTGCCAGTTTTTGAAAAAGTAAGACATGATCACATAGGCGACATTGATTAAAATTATATAAAATTATACATTAATACATATCTGACTATATTTATACTACCATGTTCTTTAATAATATTAATACCAGTGATGACCTATATACTCTCCTTTAGAATATCAAAAGTTATTGTGAATAATCAAAGAATTTCATTTCTATGGAGGTGGGGTGCTCTTTGTGCCTCAACTCCATCTCTTTTCCATTTCATCATCTAATTGCCTCTTAGAGTTTCCATTTATATTTTAATCTCAGTCGTTAGTATATGATGTTTTTACTTTCCAAGTTGAACGATCTGGAATTTAGTAAATGTATTTTCACTTGTGAGATTTTCTACTTTCTTGTTATTGCTCAAAAATCTAACCTATTCTCTGTCTTCTTTAATTTTAAAATGTATGCTACTTCATTAATCATAAGGAAGGCTTTGACATTGTTGGTTGTTGTTAAAAAATTAATAAAAATAACTTGCTGAAGGTGCTGAGTCTTTATCAAGTTTCTTTCTCTGATGTAATCCTCATGATAATCTGTTATGCATCGTGTTAATGCAATAAAGTTATTTAGAAGGTTTTTTATGCTGTCAAAGGACTTAACATATTGGAAATTTCCCAAGCTTAGAGGTATTGGATAGGACAAGGATGACCATATAATCTAGGCACAGGAAAGTTAATGCATGCATTTGCTTTTTATTTGGATGAGAAGAAATTGAGGATATTTTTTTGGCTCGTTTTCTTTACAATAATTTGTCATGGGGTTGAATGCTTTTCTTGTGTTTTCTAGGGGCTAATTTCCAGGCACCCTTTTGTAAAGCAACTTCAACAGATCTAGCCCAAATGATCTTTTTCATTCATGTCCCTTTTCTTCTCTTTTCTTCTTTTTGAGGACTTTATCAGTTCCCCTGTCCTTTTTCTTCATGGATAAATTATTTTTTACCATGTGGATGGAGCATGATAAAAATAGGAAAAAAATACATGGAACAAATGAAAAAGTTGCGGAGAAACTTTTGTTAAATTAAAAACTTAGAAGTGGGCGTGTATGTAAAATTCTATAGCATCTTTACAGTACCTGCGTAAAGTTCTTGAGCGTTTCTTGAAATTTTCACTTGTCAAATATGAGCGAAATAATTATTTATGAAATGTATTACGAATCTTGCTTAATATTTCCTCTGGATTCGTGCCACATAATTTGTTTAGAATATCTGATCTATTAGTTGAAAAGTTCCGATGGAAGATTTGACTTTCCTTTTTCACTAGCTTCCTTTTTTTTGTATAGGACATATTAAGGTAAGTCTTTATATGACATTATAGTTGGTATTCATAGGGAAGATTATGTTAGGTAGTTATAACTGCCCTTTTATGGTTATTTCATAATTGTACCCCTATGAATGTGTCAATCGCTTTGTAGTTCAAAGAAAAAGAAGAGAGAGACAAAGTTCTACTCCTCTTCGTATTTTGTCTGAGTAACTTTTACTGTAAAGTTTCTAGTAGTTTCTGTTGCTGATTGTTGGTTAATGTCAATACGTTAGATATTTCGGGAATATTGATGTATCTGTGACATCTACTGCTTTTGTCGTTGCCATGGCCCTGCTTCTGCAAAGGGGACATCCTCATTTTGCTGAACTCGGTAGTACCTATTAGAATCCTACATTATTTGGGAAAATATAAATGATCCACTTAATAAGGTGAGGACAATCCTCCCCTAACAAGCCGATTTTATTAGGTGGAGTTAGACCCAATATTCCTAACATTGTATCAGAGCTAGGCCCAATTATGCAATGTTGGGTGCCATCCAATATTGATTTGTTCACAGTTGTTTGGTATGGTCCACGCTGTGCGTGAGGGGGCGTATTAGAATCCCACATTGCTTGGGAAAATATAAATGATCCACTTAATAAGGTGAGGGCAATTCTCCCATAATAAGCCGATTTTATTAGGTGGAGTTAGACTCAATATTCCTAACAGTACCGTGTTTGGACTGTTTTACTGTGGCTACCTTCCTTGTTTCTGGGTTAAGCTGCGATGTGGTTTAGCAGCTCCTGCACTAAATACTCATAAGAATCCTGTTTTCTTTTTAATTGGAAAATTAAGTACGTATTCTAGATATGGCTTGTCTTTGGATTTTGCACTTTCTAGCTGATAAATGACCTCTTCTTTTTCATTTTGTGGCCAGATGTCCTTGCACATCAAGGAGTTAATTAAGCCCGGTTCTTTTACTAGTTTATCCTAGCTGATTTGTGCTGGGAAGGAGTCTGTTAATGGTAATTATAAATCCCATGGCTTTAGAAAAAGAAAAAAACTAAATATCAAATGGTAGAAATTGTTATTAGACTATATTTTATCAATCCAGGGAAGTGGATGTGTTGGATGTTCATGCCACAGCCAAGACGTTCTATTTTCCTGCCGTTAAGTGCCAGAGGTCATGGAAATGGATTTGGAGTTTGGCCTGGATGATTGTGTAAATATTGGCTGATTGTGGAGAAGTATTTTTGAAATGAAAAACACCTGTCTTGGGAGGAGAACAGGAAAATTTTAGGAAACAGAGAAGGAAAATGAGTAAAAGGGGGAAGGAAAAAAATTGTAGTCACGAAATAGATTAGGCCCCTGTTTTGCCCCCATTTTCTAAAACTCGTTTTTCCTCGAACTCATTTTTCAACCATATATATTATGACACCCACGACTTTTAACGGCTTTTCAACCACACATATCATTCACTTTTGTCAAAAGCTACTAAAAACTGATTTTTAGCTAAACCAAACAGGGGCTAGAAATTACACTGACATACATATAGATCAAAGAACAAGTGAATGGTAATATGAACTTTTACAGAATTTCTAGCTCAACTCATCTTTCATTTCCCATCCACAATCTGCATTATGGTTTTCTTTCTATGGTTCACTTGCTCAAATTGAAATCATGTTCAAAAATTTCGCCTGAACATCTAGACCTCTGCAGTACTATCTCAAGTGCTTGGTGCCTAGAGAATCAATTTAGATTTGCCAACTAATCACAAAATCCTGTGGTTCTTACATAGCACAGCACTTGACCAACAAGGTGAAGGAGCTGAAAGGGCCGTTGCCATGATTTCTAACACTTCCTTTCCTTGAAGTTTCAGCCTTCCGACGTCATGTCATGTCAGTCAAAGGGCTAGAATAGAAAGAGGGTCGGAATCAAATCTTTGAAGGCTTGTAAGGGATGACATTGAATCTGGTGTCGTAAGTAATCACAGAAACTTCATACAGAAATGTTAGATCGAAGACTCTCTTCTACCAAGCC